GAAAGTTGTGCGGCCAACCCACCTTCCAGAATGATCCTGAACTCAAGTCGGCTGCCCGAGTTACCCTAGGAACTTACTCCACACTCCTGCTTTCCTAAGCAGGGGCAGGCTTCCCACTCAGAATCCCTTCCTTGTGGACTCCGCCACTCTCCCCCTCACCCACAGCTCCCAGGACCTCCTTCCTGCAGCTCAAGGCCTTGCCCTCCAGATACACTAGACTGGTGATGGGCCACCCTCTGGTCCTGCCCCTCCCAGACCTGTTCTTGGCTAGGTAGGGGCTTCCTTTGGCTTACAATCTACAACCAAGTCCTGATCTTCTGATTCCAGAATAGGCTTTGGCCCCAAGCCTAGGACAGCAGGTCACACGTCTCCCAGGAGTACAAGCGAATGGGCCCTTCCCACGTAAGGCATGAAAACTCAATTACAAAAGCAGTCCTATTTTGCAGTGTTGATCAGCAAGGACAAGCCCATCAGAGGGAGCGAGGGCCAGCCCAGAGCCAGAGAGCCTAATTGTCTAGGGAGCAGTTCAACCCAGACCCTCCCACGGCCCTGCGTTTTCCCGTGGGTCTTCCAAACCAGAGCCCGTGTCTTCTCCTTCCTTCTAACTAATCCATAACACACACATGCACACACACATGCACACGCGCATACACATGCACATCCAAGCAAGTACACACAAGTATGCGTGTACATATATACACACGCGGACACATTCCCATACACTCAGTGTATTCATCATATTCTCTCCACAATGGGGCACAGATTTTATTGACTTTAGAATTTTGGAGTTCTAGGAAATGGTATTCTGTCAGGGGCCCCTGGATGGCTCAGTCAGTTAAGCATCTGCCTTCGGCTCAGGTCATGATCCTGGGATCAAGTCTGCTCAGTGGGGACTCTGCTTCTCTCTCTGCTTCTACTCTTCCCCCTGCTCATGCTCTCTCTCTCTTTCTCTCAAATAAATGAATAAAATCTTAGAAAAAAAAATGCTATGTCAGTGTCTGGGTCTGCCTAACATCAGACATCTCCCTAGTGACTAGGAAGTCCACCTCTTTCCATGTAGTACCAGTTAGGGTGTCTGAAATTCTACCAGTAAAGATTTGTTCCTTTGGGCCTCAAAGGCCTTTCTGTCTTCAACAACCCCTTCTCACCCTATAAATGAGAAGTAGCTGGGGAAAGACTGGTATGGGCCCTTTAATGCATTCTTGGTCTGGATCAATCCTTCAGATGCTTTGTAGGGTGGGAGCAAGACACTGGGAAGGGAAACAGAAAAAATCTGCAAGGGGAGCAAGGGGACAGCACAGATGAGGCAAACAAGCACTCTGCCGACAATGCCTTATGCCCAACCTGCCTGGGCTGTGGAAAAGATGAGAAGTTTCATTCATTCCTTGAATAGGTATAAACTGAACACTTACTATGTACCAGGAGCCATGTCAAGCACTGGCGGATACTATGGCAAGCCAAACCAGAGATGGTCCCTGCCTTGGTGGAGCTTCTGGTCCACTTGCAGTAGGGTAGGGAGAAACTAATCCCTGAAAATCACACTAAGGACCATTTCATTGAAACCAGGATGAGTGTACTCAAAAAGGGTTCTATCAGAATAGCAGCAAGGAACCAACCTAGACTTGGGGGAAAGGAGGGCAGGCAGGAAGATTTTCTGAGGACATGACACTTGGGGTAATCGTAAAGAAGTAGAATTAACTAGAAAAACAAAGAAGAGTGAGCCTCGGAGGCAGAAGGAACTGTATGTGCAAAGGCCCTGTGGTGGAAGGAAGCCACCTAACACTGTCATTGTGTATAATCCTTAACCTTTAATAAACTTTGAACTTCAAGGAAAATGTTCCTTTCTAAAAATATGTTTCCCTTTCCCTTTCCCCTTCCACTTAGCCCTGCATTTAAATCAATACCAAGCAACACAGAGAAGGTGAGCTATGCAGGAGAAAGCCTAAAAAAAAAACAGTTGCAGACAGCAGCTATGACAGCCATTTCCTTTTTGGTGTCTGTCACCACAAACCTTCTTAGCTAAATAAATTAGCAAAAGGAAAACATTTTGGAGAAGAAGGGTGTGGAGGAAGCACATACTAAAAAAAAAAAAAAAAAAAAAAAAACCAAGAAAAATACCCCATCTGTCTCTCAAGAGAAGAGCTGCCAGTCTGAGGTCGGGCCAGAGCCCACTCGACTATAGGGGCTGAACCTGGAGGAAACTGAGGCACAGAGAGAGGCCCAAATCCGGTCCATGGCAAGGCAGTGGCTTGAAGCCTCTCTCCCTTCCCTCGGTCCTGTGTTCTCTCCTGCCTCGCTCCCGCTGGCCCCATGAGACCGGAGAAGCTGGCTTTCTTCTATCAGATGAGGAACAGTGGGGTTGGAACTGCCCTCTGTGACCACTGGAGGTGGAGCTTAATTTTGCCCTCAGTACAGGAGCCCAATATCTTTGTGGTATCAGGAGGAGGGGGAGGAAGACTGCTAGAGGCTTTACACCTTCTATATTTGTTCTTCACAATAACCCCAGGGAGACACAACTCACACCGCCATTTTATAAATAAGGAAACGGAGCCTCTGAAAGGAGGATACACTTGCCCAAGGTTGCCCAGATGCAACATGGCACCAAGAGATTTTAACCTGGTCTAGTCTGAAACCCCATAGCTTCTCTTTTTCCCCATCCATACCCAGAAGGATATTTCTGCGGCAACATGTCAGCATCTCCAGTCTTGGCTGATTACCAGTAGGCCACCCATCACCACCAACTGCTCCCCATATCCCTCACCCTGGCTCAGATGTGCCCTCTCACACCATAGACGGTTGTGCTATGTGGCCAGCCTCCATCATAATTCCCCAAGAAGAGGTGTCTATTGGTTCCTCTGTCCCATCCCAGAGGCTGGCTGGTGTGTGAGTATTTGGGCTGGCACGCGATGCTCTTACTTTGGTGTCACATTTTTTGTTTTGTTTTGCTTTAGCTGTTCCTCCCAGAAGTTAGAGTGCAAATTTCCCAAGCTCACAAACAGACTATTCACTTCCTACGAGCTCTGCATGCTCAGTATCTGGTCTTGGTCTGTTCCAGAAAAGCCCATTGGCTGACACTTATTCTGCATAACAATTCTGCAGTTTCCAAGGGCCGTGCTGTTGGCTCTCAGGTCTTGGTGGTGGTGGGCTGCAATAGATTCACTGAAGCAAGATCAAGTACAATGGCATTTCCCTTATATGCTATGGATTATTGGTAGATTTTTTTTTAAAATGTTTTTGGCTATAGGATTTCTCAAAACCTTTGACATTCTGTGGCAGACATGACCAGCTATCCTCTAGCACCATCCACTTGGTCTTTATTTAAATATAGAACTCTCAAATTTTAGCCCAGTAAGAGACTTTTTTTCCCAGCCTCCCTTATAACTAGGAATGACTATATGATTAAGATCTGGACAAGGATATATGAGCTGAGGAATCTGCATCCCCTCTAGTCGTGTCATTGAAAGAAATAAGCCTGTGCTTGTCTAGCTTTTTCTCCTTTGTGCTGGATGGAATGTAAATGTGATGGCAAGAGCAGGAGCAGCCACTTTGGACCAGTGAGGCACTCAACCCTGTACTGCTTACTTATTAGTGAGAAAAAAACTTCCATATTGTTTAAGCCAGTGTATTTGGGTTCTCTGAGAAAAAACTTCCATATTGCTTAAGCCACTATATTTGGGTTCTCTGAGCCATCAATTTAGACTGAATCCTAAGTATTTTATGTACTAATGTGCATAAGAAATCTCAAAGTGGATCATACATTTTTCAAGTACCTATGATCTTAATACCTATTTTTCAAAACAGGTTAGGAATGTGCTCCTTAAAATGCATCTTGGGAAATACAGCAAATACTCTTTTTAACATACCCAGAACCTCAACCTAGGATATGGCCCACAGCCTGCTTGTCCCCAATTATGCATCTAATAGAAGTTTATAAAATACAAACTACCCTCACCCCAACAATGCCCTAAAGAAATGCACTTCTTTTCCCCAAACCACTGACCTTCTCCTCACAACAGTCCACAAAGCCACACATGTTATACTTCTAATTTTGGGAATTCCAGTTCCAGGAGACCATAGAGAAAGAGCCTGACACGGGGCTCAATCTCACAACCCCAGGATCATGACTTCAGCCAAAACCAAGAATTTGTTGCCCAACCAACTGAGCCATTCAGGCACGCCAACTTCAGGGTTTTAAAGATAGAAAAGCACAGATTTTTTAAAAATTAGGAACTTTCCTGATTTTGTGCTCTCTCCATCCTCCCCAAAAAGCAAGTGGCAGGGAGTGCAGGTGGTAACTGGCTTCCACATGCAAAGCCCACGACTGTGGAGGACCTCTCATCAGGACCCTCTGGCTCCACAGAAGCCGCCTGAACACAAGCATCAAGGCCAACACCATCAAATCTTCCTCAGCACACAGAATGGTAAGAGCGCCACCATTTTCAAGTCCTCCAGATGCCCCAAAGTTCCTTCATGTTTCAGTCCTGGATTTTGAGTGCAACAACTGTTTCCTTTAATTGAAGGAAGGCGCCCATGGCCCCTGAAAAGGTGGTAAGATATGAGGAGAACAGAGATGGAGGAAAAACCCAACTTCCATTAAAACCACCACCCTCAGTCAAAGATGAAAAGTATAGCATAGGAAATATAGCCAATAATATCCTATACTTCGTACGGTGACAGACTTATCACCATGAGCGTCCAGTAATGCATAGAATTGTCAGATCACTACGTTGGATACCTGGAACTAATGTAACATTGTATGTCAACTATACCTCAATTAAAAAAAACCCCAATCCTCAAATTAATATTTCCCACGAATCATGTGCCAGCATTTCCCTCTGGAGTACTGAAGGAGCTCTAAAGTGATCCCTAAGTTCCCCAGCCTATTGTCTAGAGCAACCTGGTAGCACCCAAGGCCCTTGTTTGACATCAAGAGGTGTGTTATTCCCACCAGAATATTTTTTAAATGGGAATATACTGAAAGAAATAAAGAAAAAAAAAAGTTTACAAAAATACAGACTCTAGTTCAAATTTTATTTGCATACAAAAATATATTATACGGGGAAAAGCATATGACTGTTTCCAACTATATATAATTAATTACAAATATGTTCATAAAAGCACTTTAAATTACGGGAAAGCTAAGTTCCGAGAGAAAACAGAATATTAGCATGGATCATCCGTTCTAATACGCTGCAAGCTGGTAAACCAAGTCAGTGTCACTGTCTAAATTGCCCAGAGATGATCTTAAAGGCTGGTGTTAGGACGAGCCGGAGCGCGGCCCGGGGGTAGTTGAGCGCTCATCTCTGCTCTGGCTGCAAATTCCGTCGCTGATTTTACCAGGTCCTGAGCTTTCCAAAGCTTCTCCTTATGATGGAAGGACCCAGAACTTCTCCTGGTTTCACATGCCTGTAAAGAGGGAAGAAATAAGTTATCCCCTCACAAAGGTTTCCGATTCCTATGCTTAACCAGATCACACCACCACAGACAGGCATGAAGGCACCACACGTCACGGCGGGCTTCCCACGTGTGGTATGTCGGATTAACTGGTACAACTGGGCAGCCGGCTGCAGTTTCCATGAAGTAGGCAGGCTTGTTACCTGGGTCTCACCTGAACTGCACTGTAATTACCATAATCTCTGTCAAAACAGGCCTCAGTCTTCTGATGTGGGCTGGATGGTACGGCATGGAAGAGAATGAGCCATAAAATTCTCCAACGAATAGGAAAAACACCAGGACTTTCCAACCCACAGTTAGGTCTCGGTGTCAGAAACGGAATCATTTTTAATTAACAAACTTTGGATCTAATTTTTCAGGTTTGACCTGGCCGTTTAGCAGAGTACAGCAAAAAATATTTCTTAGGGAAAATCAACACTTTCATTAAAAAATTAAGAGGCTGGGACAAAATTCTTCTGCTCTGTGACTGCCTAAGGCCTGCCAAGAGTACAGCTGGTCAAATTTTTATCCCAGAAGCTCTAGCTGATCCTTCTGGCTCTTGCGATCCTTTCTTTTTAAAACCGAGTGGGTAGATTAATTCTGAGTGCTCCATCTTCCGCCCCCATTGTAGTTACGGTCTGCTACCTTCAGTTCCCCACATTTTCAATCACACAAAAGGGGTACCATTACTGTAACTGCCAAATGGGAAACAAGGCAGTGAGTACTTAAGTCTTTCACCAGTTGGCCTGGGCCTTTGGTTACGGGGTCTTCCCGAGCCAATTCTTTCCTTTGCGACCCAACTCTCTAGAAGTCAGACCTCCCCAAGCTCCTGGATCTAACATGAGAGGACCTCCCCGGCCCGTGGGATGGAACCATCTGTCATGTTAGCACATTGCTTTTGCAGTCAGTCGGCTCATTTCTCCCCTGAAAAGCCTGCCAGGCTCTCGTGGTGGTAAAGCTCCCATCTTCCTCTCACCCCTACTCTGCATTTTTCAAACAAAATGTCATTGTTTGCCGGTGGCCTGTTCTCAGCGTTTGGAAAGGGCCAAGATCCACATGAACGCAGGCTTATCCTCAGAACTTCTTTCTGAGCCACCAGAATTCTTCGGTTTCAGAACCTAAAGAAGCCCGCCCGATGATGTAACTTCCTGCCCCCAAGGCAAGCTGGTAAATATTATGGCACTTTATCAGCACCGGTGGTTGGTTTTCCGTTTGATTTTTTTTTTTTTTTTTTTTTTTTAATACCAGGCATGTACTCACTTGCTAGTGTTCTGTCCAGATCAGCAATAAAGTCTTCTAGCTCTTTCGTGTCTCCTAGTTTGGCTGAAAAACAAGAGTCGACCTTTAGTTTCCATTATCAACAACAGCTCATGGCGCCCTCGGTTCCCAGGGTTATGTGGCCCGTTTCGCCTCCCTGCATCTACAGAGACCTGATTTTCAAGCGTCCTGTACCAACCCTCAGTGCCCGGTGTCTGCTCCACGTTTACGTACAGTCAACTGAGACGCTGACTCTGAAGATCCACCAAAATGTCTCCCTCTTGTGTTTTTCAGTTCATCAGCCCTCACGCCACAGTTTTTCAGTTCATCAGCACCCCCACCCCAACAACCTGGAAGGAGAATTTCCCTTCACTGCCTTAAAAGGGCAGGGGGACTGAGGGGCTGCGGAGGAAAACAAAAAGTTCTGATTTGGGGGCACCTGAGTGGCTCAGTCGGTTAAGCGTCTGCCATCCGCTCAGGTCGTGATCCCAAGGTCCTGATATCGAGTCCCACATCAGGCTCCCTGCTTAGCGGGAGTCTGGTTTTCCCTCTCTCTCTCTCTCTCTGCTCCTCCCACCCACTTGCACTATCTCTCTCTCTCTCTCAAATAAATAAAAAAAAAATTAAAGATCTTTAAAAAAAGAGTTTTCTAAAAAAAAGTTTTGATTTTTTGACTATGTAGGATTAATGTCAAAAAATACTTGGTAAGCATGGCACTGTGCAGAGTAGACACCCCGAGTCAGTATTCCTGCTCTGCCTCACCTCTGCCCCATTCTTGTTCCTGCTGCCACCCCAGGGCCACAGTGCAGCCCTCGGAGTCCCTCCAGTAGGAACGGAACGGAAAGCCACCGAGCTTTGTCAAAATGGTGTGGGGAAGGCGCCGGGAGGCTTCCGGGTTCAGGACAGCCTGGTCCCATCCAGGTGGCCGCACAAGGCAACAGGTTCTTATCTTGCTTTGGTTCCCTCTGGATCCTGAGATATATAGGCTTTCCTGTAGAGGTCATTATTTATGCCTTTTCCAAAATGCATTCCTGGAGAGCTTTATTAATTAACCCTTGCTGGCTACAAACAGCTCGTTGTTCTTAGCTTTTAAAGTCAATCCGCCACTAGAGCTTTCTCTCCCTCTTTAATTCCTATCTCCGGAGGATCAAGTAGCAATCTGGGAGGATCAGGTAGCAATCTGGGCATGGCTGAAGCCACTTCCTAGACTGCTACCTCGTTCTGAATTCAATAGGTCTGTTTTACCCTCAGGGAGCTGGACAATTGCAGAGTCCCCAGGGGCTGATGCTAACACTGCTCTGTTGAGAGGAGAATTTAAAAATCATTCTTTTGAAAAAGAGGGAAATTCCTCCTTAATGCCAAGAGTGAGAACATTAATAGCATCTTCATATTTCTTTTTTTAACTCTGCTCCATTTTTATAGCATTCTGCAACTATTTTCAGTAAGTATAATGTTTCTTGAGGAAAAAAACTCCTTTTGTTTTCAAAAGGGCACTTGTCCAATATAACAGAACATTCAGCTCTCTAGCTGGAGACACTTGACAAGTGCCAAAAAATAAGAAACTGCTCATGCATCTTTAAAAACTTTTTTAGGTCTATTAATATCACAGGAGAGCCGGGCTGGGGCCTGCTATTTTAAATCATGTCAGATCATCGCTTGTCTCATGAGGATGACCCCACTGACTTGTTAAATTAGTAATCTGAAAGCGTTGGTCAACTAGTTAATGCCAATGGAAAGAAACCCACTTTCTGCAATCCCCAACTGCTGCTAAGTTTTCAATTCTAGAACCAACCAGTCGGGGAGAGAGCTCTGTCATTTGGCAGTCTTGATCACACCACATGAGAGAGAAAGCAGAGTCTGGAGAATACAGGTTTTCTCTCTCCCTGCGAATTTGGTTTCTTTCATTTACCTGATTCATTTTCACACTGCTCAGAATCCTGAGAAAGAACGAACTGCCCTTCACACCGTCCCATAGTTAGATGTTAGTTCTATTTGTTTCGCACATTTGGGTAAGATTGATCAGGGCTAAGGGGGAGGAGAGGAGAAGACTGAAGGAGGGGAAGGCAGTAAGAAGCTAAAACAAACACTCACACCGCAGCTAACCAGCTTACCTTTCCGAGGACTGCCAGCTGGGGAGAGCAGAGCCGGAGCGGAGTCTGTTGGAGAATTCAGTTTTTCATCACTGAAGCTGAAGCTGTTCCTATAGAGCGAATCTGCACCTTTCAGGAAAGAAAACATAACTCATTCAAGGTCGTTTTCAGACCACAGTCTATTGCTAACCAAGAGCTCCTCTCCAAAAAGAGCGAAGTGGTAAAGTAAACAAGCTGATTTCCAGATTTTGTATTTATGCTCCCAAAATGATTTGAGACAGGGGAGTGTGCCTGTGTGTGTATGTGAATGTGTGTGAATGTCGTGCACACCAAGGGCCTTGCCTCCTTGAAGAATGGAGAGTGGGACAGGATTATCAAGACCGGACCAGCCTCCTTTGCAACACGTAAGAGCCCACTGCCCAGGTGTCTGACAATCCAGCCAATGCTTGGCTGACAGGGGGTGGGGGGTGGGGCAGCAGGGTTGGGATTTTAGACCTAATGGATCACCTTTCCTAAAAAAGGTTCCTTCTGCCCTCTGAATTTCCTACAATACAAATACAAGGTTGGATCCCACTAGCTAATAATCCTCCCTCCTGGGAGTGCCCGGGTGGCTCAGTCGGTTAAGAGTCTGATTCTTGATTTCGGCTCAGGTCACGATCTCACAACTGTGAGATCCAGCCCCTGGGCCGGCTCCATGCTCAGCGGGGAACCTGCTTGAGATTTTCTCTCCCTCTTCTTCTGCCCCTCTCCTCTTCCCGCCCCCTCTCAAATAAATAAATAAATCTTTTGAAGAAATGTTTAAATAATAATAATAATAATCCTCCCTGCCTGTTTAAGAGTCTCTGCCATGGTTCTCCTGAGAACCTACACTCTGAGAGAAGCTAGAGGGTCAGAGATAAATAGTTCTTCTAGAGATTGTCAATTATAGACACTTCGAGTGATTTGGTAGCTCCCTCTGTTGTCAGACCCCCAAAGACCACAGCAAGAGCAAGGCAAGGTCCCAGACGCAGGGTTGTGCTGGGAGTCAAGGGAACCCACTCAGCTACTTCGGGACTTGCCCTTGAGCAAGACAGTATCTCTGAGTCTCAGCTTAGCCACTAAGAAAATGGGAAGGCTTCCTAACTCTTCCAGTTCCTTCCAGCTCTTAAGTTCTGAGAGTCGGCTTCTTTAGGCCCTGCCAAGAAGGGGGAAACGTACCCACGGCCAGCCCAGCCGTGTGGCTGTGACATAAGAAGGGAGATGGTGGCTGAGCTGCACCCACTCGAAGGGCTCAAAGGCAGAGCAGCCAACAAACGGAAGCAGGATGTGGCCTCTGAGGTCACAAAGTAACAACCTTCCTGGTTAAAACCAAACACAAAGCAAGCCATGGTTGTAGCAGAGATGAGCCCCGGGAAGGCTCCTCAGGTGAGAGAAGGCACTACACCCGGCTCCCTTTCTCCCCAGCCTCCTCTGATCCGGTGGTCCCAGCACCATCTGTCTTTCAGACCTACACACTCTTCTTGTCCACTCTTCCGAATATGCCCAACCTTCCCAATTTTTCTCCCTTCAGAGGTCCAGCCCACATTACCTAAAAGGACCATAGTCACTTTTCAGGGCTTGATGAGGAACACCTACTGAGATCCAAAATACCAAATCTCACACTTATTATTTCCCCAAAAATATATTCCTCGGAACATTGGTCCTTTGGAAAGAAGAGCCGTGTGATCAACTAAGTCTAAGAAACACTGAGCACCCCTGGAGATTCCTACTGTGTCCTCCCACTTTAACGTCCCTAAGAGGTCTCATGACAAACCAGTTTATCCTTACTTCTCAAATTGAACTACAAGGTGCATTTTTCATGGCAGTGCCTTAATATTTCTCAGAACACTTGCACTCCATGGAACTCAACTGGGGAGGCCTATAGCCCAGCTCTAGAGCAGTCTGGATTTTCTCAAGGGAAAGGCTTTCCCTTACATACAAGAAAGTGGTCATGTCTGACCGACAGCAGAGCATTACTGTGTGCCACCCCGCAACAGGGAGGGAACCACCACAAGTAGAACCTAAGAAACTTGTAGGGAAAAGATGACATTAAGACATAGGGTCAGGAAAACCACAGAGGGCCCTGGGGAGCCCAGCCTCATGCCCAGACCCCTGAGCCAGAAGAAGGAATATGAGGCATCTGGCACGTAATCTGTGGTTCTGAGGGACACAGAGAGCATCGCCCCCATCCCTGGCCCAGAGGCCCAGCCCAGAGACTCGGGGCCCAGACTTCCGTGGCCACACCCCTGGTCTCTATCTCCCAGAAGCAGCTGGTCTTTGAGAGCCACTTTCACCACACCTCACTCCACCCCACCCTGCACCACCCGCCCTTGCCCTGACTTTGGACTTCACCTCTTTTCTGCTCCAACTCAACAATTTTCCAGCCACATATACTCATTCTTGGGAGGAAATGGGGGTGAGGGAGGGGGAGAGAGACACACACACACACACACACAATTTGTTTTTCCTCAGAGCAAGTAGACCCGTGTCATTGAGTTTTTGGGGAAGGAATGATCTCAACATGGAAAAGGCCATTGCAAAATGGTAGGGAAAAAAAGAATCCAGTGAGGATTCAGGAAAAATTCTGGGTCACTCAGGTGATTTTGAGACTCTGTAGAGAATGAGTCATAGTACCAGGACCTTGCCACAGTGGACCTCTTGGCCTTTTAAAGTCTGGTGTGAAAATGCCTTTTTGAGCCAAATATTTTCCTCAAACTTAGAAAATATATAGACACAGTGGCTGTTACTTGCCTAATACTAATAAAGTTGGTTGCAAACCAAACTTAAAATAATCAGAAATTCCTCTTATTGCTAATGAACTCAAGCTATTCCCCCAATGAGGGAGAAAATAATACTAGGTTCCCATATCTATATATAAATACACACACACACACACACACACACACGCAGGCATGTCAACACAGCATGAGCTCACTTCCCCACTCCCCCTCTCCCCTTACACCTCCCAACCCCCCCCCCACAGGCTCACACAACATTGCCACACCTTGATTCCTCTCTCTTTCCATGAGTTTCAGGGCACAATCTGAGCCAGACCTGATTCCAGGCTCCAAAATATTCAACCATCAATAGGAAATGACCCCCAGCTTCCTTGAGCCAAACCTGCCCACAGTTTAGTTCCACCCTGTGATAATACTGTACGCACGTCATTCACAAAAACAGCAACTTCAAGAAGCCCAAAGCTGCTAAGAAACCCAGCAGAAGCTGCCACAGTAGAGACAGCTGGGATGGGAGGCCATCACAGCTGTGAGACCCTGTGCAAATCACTTCACATCTGAGTTTCAGTTTCTTCTTCACGCAGGGGAATGATAACTAGGCGTTCCAGGTAGGATTCCTATGGTGTTCGTGATTTTATTCTAAAGTTCCCAGCAAAATGGAGGATCACATGTTCAGGAGAGGAGAGGTCACCAGAGAGAACAGTAACCATCAAGACTACGGCCCGGCTTCCTCCTCCTCTTCAGAGAATAACAAAATTCTTCTTCTTCTTTTTTAAAAGATTTTATTTATTTATTTGACAGAGAGACACGGTGAGAGAGGGAACACAAGGAGGGGGAGAGGGAGTGGGAAAAGCAGGCTTCCCGCTGAGCAGGGAGCCCAATGTGGGGCTGTATCCCAGGACCCTGGGATCATGACCTGAGCCCATGGGAGATGCTTAACAACTGAGCCACCCAGGCATCCCAAGAGTAACAAAATTCTTTTTTTTTTTTAATAACATTTTTTTAAGATTATTTATGTATTTATTTATTTGGCAGACAGAGATCACAAGTAGGCAGAGAGGCAGGCAGAGAGAGAGAGGGAAGCAGGCTCCCCGCTGAGAAGAGAGCCCGATGCGGGGCTCGATCCCAGGACCCTGAGATCATGACCTGAGCCGAAGGCAGAGGCTTTAACTTACTGCCACCCAGGTGCCCCGAGTAACAAAATTCTTAAGAGAAGCTTATCTTTGGTGGCACCCGAGGATAAACTCCGTAAAACAAACCATCAACACAGAAGGAGCCCAACCTCTAGACCTTGCTTCTTTTTATCCAATAAAATTTCACTCCACAGACTTTTCTGAAGCACCCTCCACGAAGAAGATCTCATGGAAGGCACTGTGGTCGATGAAAAGGAAAGCCTGACTTCCTGATCATTTCACTCCTCTGGAACTCCATCCCTCACAAAACAACAGCCAGTCTGATAAAATGATACCAACGTGTTGCTCGCTGACAGCATATTAATGTGTGACCGCCCCACCCCAGTGTCAGATGCTGCTATTAACAGGGGTCTGAGAGGCACACACAGTGATGATTTGGGGAACACTGGTAGGTGATAAGACTAGATATTTCAAGGCTCCACAGCATCGACTTCAATCAGCTCTAAAGCCCCATCTCACAAGCATCTCCAAGTCCCACTAGAAATGACCTTGGCAAGGCAACTTTGGCGAGCTGAAGCCAGGCACCTCATACTCAGGGACCAAGTTTTCCAAGACCCCTGCTGAAGAAATGTCAGCATATTCGATATACAAACAGCCCGCTTTAGTGCTCACCAACAGAGCTTTAGAAACTCGGCTGTCAAAACAGACGCTTGTTTAAAATGTAGTTGAGCTTTTGGAGCGTGGGGGCAGGGGAGAAAGGTAATTTAGGGTTAGTGCCGACATGTGCTACTCCAGAGGGAAGGAAAGCCACAGACGGTAAACCTTGCCCAGAGCTCCTGTAAATATAGAACAATCCCACACGTTGAAGACAAGCAAACTATAGTAATTAACTGGGAAAAAGAAAGCCTTGGACCTGTTTCCCTTTTGCCACAGGGAATGGGGGTGAATCTCCCTTCAACACTATGGCCCCAGCTTCCCTCTTGATACCTCTCCAGGTCTCTGCCAAAGTGAGCCCCGTTCCCCCACCTGGAACCCCTACTAGCATGCCAGGGCCACCTGAGGGCTCCTGAGCTTCCATTCTCTCCTGGCTTCAACAAGTTCAGATTCTAGCCTCTGGAGCTCCTATCCTGGATCTGCCAATATGCTATCAAGCTGGCACCCAGGATACAAATGCTCTGGTCTTGCACATGCTAAAGGAGCCAGTTCCTCATTCCCTAAGACGGTTCTACAATATCACAATAGCCCTTGCATACACAGGAGCCTTTGGATCCTTCCTATTAAGTAGCAAAATACTCCCCCCCCCACTTCAAAGGAAAAAGGTGTGTGAAACCCCAACACAGCAAAGACGGAAGTTCCTACCACCTTCTAAAGTTCAAGTTAATATAAACTTCATATAAAACCATTTGATGAAAATATAAATTAACACATTGGTTAAAACTTGGTAATCCTGAGTGAAAATTTCTTTAAACATATTTGAGGAATCATGGTGTGCATTTACAGTTTTCAAAATATTGAAAAATCGGAGTGCCTGGGTGGCTCAGTCGTTAGGAGTCTGCCCTCTCCCAGGGTCCTGGGATCAAGCCCCAACGCCACGGCAGGCAGCGGCAGGCGGCAGGCTCCCTGCTTGGGCTCCCTGCTCACCAGGAAGCCTGCTTCTCCCTCTCCCACTCTCCCTGCTCCTCTTCCTGCTGTTTCTCTGTCACAGAAATAAATAATATTTTTAAAAAAATACTAAAAAGCAGTATATTTTTAAAAATAAGTTTAAACCCAAGAAATTTATAGCCTCTGGGGCACCTCTAAGGATCAAGTTTGAACAACACCGCCCTATTACTGCTGACATTAAGAGAGCTCCCACCAAAGTGTCTGTTGGACCCAAGTCTAGGGGAAAGGAACCAGCCTGTTTTGATCAACCCCCATTTGAACGCCATCCGAATGTGGCGTGATCTTGCAATTTTCATTTTGGTCCTCTTGATGTCTCTAAAGGACCCCCCGTAAGTGGGAACAGGGAGTACTTATTAAACGTACATTCTTCTATCTAAGTAATTTGCTTCTTTGGATGGAAGGAATAGTCTGTTGCTTCTTTGGATGGAAGGAATAGTCTGTTTCTTCTTTGGAAGCAAGCAACCCTTTTTTTATTTTAGTAAGAAAAGGAAGGGTTCTTTTCTTTTTTTCTTTTTTTTTCCTTTTCTTTTTTTTGGGGGGGGGTAGGGACAGAGGGAGACAGAAGAGAAAGAGAATCTTAAGCAGGTTCTGCGTGGCGCCCACACACAGAGCTCAATCTCACGACCCTGAGATCATGACCCGAGCTAAAATCAGGCTGATGCTTAACGAACTGAACCACCCAGGCGCCCCCAAGGAAGGGTTCTTCAAAAAACAGAATTGCTGCTTTGAGCTACTGTGTAAGGTGGCTACCTTTCTTGAGTGATAGAGCCCTAGGTGAGGCTGAGTGAGAATCAAGGACCACTGGCTGATAGCTCATTTGTAACATTTCCATTTAAGACACTTGCACAAGTGTATCTGATCTATATAACAGAGCCTGGTGTATGCATTTTAATGTTTTCCTGAAAGCATGAAACAGAGCAATTTTTTTCTCCTAAATCGTTGAGCCTATGGATGTTTCCACTAGCACTACTAAACAGCATCCTTTCAATTTCATAGCTAGAGAAACTGAGGCCCACCTACTGCCCAGGGCCCCAACAGAACTCAGCCTGGGCCCCACTGATCCAGCCAGATAACCACTGTCTTGAAGAGACACCTTCAGACACAACCACTATTGATAAAGAGGCACGTGACCCAGGTCCAGTAGGACCAGCTAACCATCCATGGTGACAAGAGCAGTCTTTAGGACTGTGGTAGAGATCCTATGAGATAACACACGTAAAGCACAGCAAATGGACCACTACTAGTAAGAGTTAATAAATAATAATAATAATCCTAGTAAAGGCTTCGTAAAAGTGAGCTGCTCTTATGATCATTATCCTGGTAGGTCCTCCTTTTGGTGGCCTAAATCTGTAGGATCTACTTCTCTCATTCTCCTCCTCAGAAAAGCAGTGAACAGGTAAACACATCAAATAAGTAAATGTCTGTGCTCAGTTTTGGTGGTAGTTAAGAGACAAATATTATGCTTCCTCAAGAAATTATTATTTGACACTGCTTCTGCCAACACTATTTCTAACCAGTCTTATGGGGGACAAACTACACATTTATAAGGAAGATGAGTGTCATCGGAGCCTTCTTTAGACCGTCCCCACTACACCTCTAGCCACCAAACTAAGGGTCAGCAAAACAGTTAACAACAAAAACAGAAAACAAAATACACACGTGCACGCAAGGGCATGCCCCCCCCAAGAGAAACTGTAGACTACTCCAAATGTCTCCCCCCAAATCGTTAAGAATGTGTTTCTGAGTGCCTTGTCTTTGAGGCCCCTGAAAACCAACTCTGAAATCCTACTCCCAGGGAGTTGCAATCACCCCTGATGGGCCAGCTCAGACCATATCCCAGCCAAACGCAGCTGTGGTTTAAAAAGGAGTTGTTCTTTGCAAGAGCACAGCGCTGGACAGACTGTCCCAGCTTTCTTTCCTGTGGGGGAGAGAATTGGTACTTGATGAATAACTTGCTCCAAGCCCCAGGAGACATATTTAAGTTTGGCCCCAGATATTGAGACAAATTTCAAAAGTTTTTAGATTTCCCTTTGAAATTCAAAAATAATTGATCCCGTCATTACCCATAAAGTCCAGAAATACAAAACAGAAAATTAACAGCACACTATTCCATTCCTGTTTGCCTCAAAAGCTGCAATTAAATCTAACCCTTGGGCGGGGCTGCCAAGGAAGGTCAAGAGAGACCTCAGGTTTCTGACTCAAACCCTGGACATGGTGATGAGTGCCTTTATTCCTTTTCAGGAAGACAGCTCATGTTGAGGTCTGGGACTGTGTCTTTGCCCTGGAACAAGGAAGAGCTTCAGATTTCAAAAGAAGAGAATCACAAGGAAAGGTCACTGTGTCATGCTTTCACTTCCAGAGTCAAGGGCAGCAAAGGGAGTGATATTCATGCTGGTAACTGGTCTAGGGAATGAAGTCTCAAGAATTATTCAGAAAAGTTCACTTTGAAAAATAGTAAGTCATCCAAAATTTGAAAACTAACAATCACATTAATACTGAAAAGTCACCAAATTTGCTGGTTAATTTTTTTTTTTTAAGATTTTATTTATTTGACAGAGAAAGAGCACAAGCAGTGGGGAGCAGCAGACGGAGAAGGAGAAGCCATCACAGGGCTCCATTCCAGGACCCTGAGATCATGCATGACCTGAGCAGAAGGCAGACCCTTAACCAACTGAGCCACCAGGGTTTCCACCAAATTTGCTGTTTGAGACCGAAACAGGTATCTATAATCCTTACAGACCACTTGGTCCTCTGAAAAAAGCTGTCTCACTCCTTGCAAGGTTGTTTAAGACAAAGAGACCCAGGGGTAGTCTCGCTTATGAGAAAAGTTGCCAGGAGGCACCTCTATGCCCATCTGCTCTGGCTCCCTCTCCAGCCTGAGTGGGTGGGGGGAGGTGTGCAAGCCCGCAGTCCCCGCGGTGGACCCGCCTGAAGGAAAAGGGACACTTGAACTCTGTACCGCCAGAGAGTCTTTCAAAACTGCAGGCAGTGCAGCAGCAAGTCTGGGAACTCAGAGCCAGAAGAAAACGCAAGAAGTTATTTCAAAAATCCCAAGAACAGCAGCTTATGAAATATTTCCTGGTGTCACAAATTTTTTCAGTATTGTGCCCTGCCCTATCTTCCTCCACCCCCATTCCTGTGGCACTTGACCCACACACTCTGAAAAAAAATGACTGCGGAAAGAGAGAAAGGCAGGGGAAGGGAGGAGAGGTAGCTGAAAGAAAGCCTGGCTGGGGTCCCAAGAGTCCCGTATGGCTAGGAAGAACAAGCTGCTTTATTAAAACCCTCAGGCCTCCGGACACCTGCAGGCGGCAGGTAGCCCAGCTGGCCCTCCGAGAGCCTCCGAGGGACAGCCCCCGGGGTGTTGCCCCCGCTGCAGGCGTCCTAGGACCGCGCGGTGCCGTGGGCTCACTCCGCTGGACGCCATCCCTCGGTCTACAGATCGGCAAACTGAGACCCGAGCCCCGCAGCGCTCCTTACAGGGACTTCCCCGGGCTCCCGCTCTTTCCCGATTGCGGCCACACTTACTCTCGGAGTCGCTGAAGCCGCTGCTGTCGCTCACGCTGGCGCTGCTCCGCCGCTTCATGCGCTCCAGGTGCTCCTCATAGTGGAAGTGGCGCTCGTGGAAGGGCGACGCGAAGTCGGCCAGCACCGCGTCAAACTCGCACAGCGCATCCGTCAGGTCCCCGGCGGCCGCCGAGTCCAAGGCCGGGGCTGGGGACGGGGAGGGCGGGCTCAGGTGCTGGCGCGGCGCGGCCGTCCCGTCCGGGGCCGCCACCATTCCGAGGAGAGCCAGCATTCACGGCGCGCGTGCCGAGTGACAGCCACGCTGGCGCTGCCCGTTGCTCATCTTTGCTACTCTCAACCAGCCCCTGAAGCGGGGCTACTACCCTGCCCATTCCACAGACGCGGAAACTGAGCCTCCGCCGCGTGGGGGTGCCGACCAAAGGTCACCCAGCTAATCGACGCAGCGGAACTTTTCCCACGCGCGGTCGGAGACTCGCCGCCACTCGCGTCCCCCGGGGGCGCGCGCGAACCGGGGGCGGTGGGAAGATTGGGTGGGGATGCGCCCGTCAACGGTCCCCCAGCCCGGCGCCGGAGGACGGCCGAACCCGCCAGGAGCAGGGTCCCGCGGGTGAGGATGGAGACGGACGCCACGGGACGCCCTTTCTTTCGAAGGGCCGGGGCTTTAAGGGTCCCACACTCACCTGCCGCCGCGGCGGCCGCGGGGCTGCTCTGCGCGGCGGGCGGCTTCATGGGCGGGCTCGGCCCCGCGCGCGCGGCGGAGGGTCCTGCGGGATGCTGAGCCCGGAGACTGTGCGACCGCTCGCGCCGAGGCCTGCGCTGCTACCCGGGCTTCTGTCCGCGCTCGCGCCCCGCGGGTCTGGCTCGCCTGGCCGCGCTCCTGCCGCGTCTCCCCCGGGTCTGCTCACACGCCCGCTCTCTCTCCCGCCGCCGCCACCCTCCTGCCCCCGCGGTCTTATAGCCGCGGGCGGAGGCGGGCCGGGGCGGGGCCGGCGGGTGTGTCCCGGCAGCCGCGCCGGGGACGCCCCTGTCCCCCAGGCACCGCCCTCGCCACGCGCCAACCGCGGAACCGCAGTGACGGCGAGTTGCCGGAGCCCGGGTTACAGACCCAAATATTTACTCGCCACTTCGCCCGCGCGCCCTGACAACCTGCCTCGCTGAAGTGTCTCTGTCGCCACCGGAGCCCCAAAGAGTTTACGGCTGGGCTGGAGCACTCCCCCGCTTCCTGCCGCGTGCCCTTTACCTCCTCCAGCCTTAGTTTCCTCATCTGTAAAATGGACGTGCTGAGCCTCTGGGGTTTGCTGCGAAGAATAAAGTAGCCCTAGGAGGCCCAGACGGGTGTCACACACGCTGAGGGAGGCTCCCGCGTCCCCACCCCATTTCCCCAGGGGACTTAAGGATTGTGGGCAAACCGAGTACAGAGATAGAGGACAAGAGGGGCAGAAGGCGGGGAGTGCACGCGGTTACAAGCCTTAATTGCTCCCATCCAAGAGCCCGGAGTCTGACCTTGTCCTGGCCTTTCATGCCAGCCCTGACTTTATTCAGGAGGAGTTTTTGTCAGGGAAAGAAATTACTGCTTAGATGTAGCGCATACCCGGTGCCTTTCAGCGTCTGCTCCAATGGGCAACCCTACCCAGCCATCTTGCTGGGCACCAGTCATGGTCAAGAATAACTCTCCCTGCACTGCCCCAGGAGGCAGCCACTAGCCACAGGTGGCTATGTAAATGTAAGTCGACTAAAATAGACTACAATAAAAAACTCAAGTTCCTCAGGCTCACCAGACACATATTAAGCGCTCAACGGCCACCATCGCAGAAAGTTCTATTGGACAAAGCTGCCAGGGTCTCTGACCCACAAAACTGGCTTGGGAGGGAAGAGAGGCCTCTTACGCGGTTATCAAGAGCCTCCTGGGTCAGGTTCTGTCATGCACCATTTCCAGCCCATACAGCAATCCTTAGAAGTGGAATTATCGCTAGTTTCAAAGGTGAGGAAACTGAGGCGCAGGAGATTAAATAGGTTGCCAGTCAGGTAGTGATGGAAAGGCAGGTCTCCCTGGTTTCGGAGCCACTTTGGGTTTCACCACACTTTCCCTTCCTCCACGTGTACAGTGAAGAACGGAGCCCCCAAGGGGAAAAGGCTCCGAGTGACAGAGCAGATCCCAGGCCCTTAAAGCGACAAGGCATCTTTCATTTTACCTTCCTTTTCTTATTTTTCCCACCTCCTTTTTAAATTGTTTTTTTCTCTCCTTTCCTCCCTCATGCTCTTTAACTTGCGTGGCACCCAGTGATGATACCCTGGGCTAACTCAGCAGCGTCCGATCTGGAAACTGAGGCCAGGGAGCTGCTTTCCAAATGCAGTTCTGCCTTCTTATCTGGGGCTGGGGTGCAGGGTGGTAGACACGCCGGCCCGGCTCCTGCAGGAAGACTCTGAGTCCCCATCAGCCAAAGAATCAGCCAAGTTGATCTTCGGAAGAGCCTAGAAACAGCCCTACTTTTTAGCAGCTGTGTCAGTTTCCTGAGTGACAAAGAAGATAACCTTGTCTCTTCTAGCAGAGATTGGTTGGCTGTTGTCATCTCTACCCCTTTGTAAAAGAACTCACCCAGACATCGGGAGATGGCTGGGCAAAAGGCCCCTCCAGGATGGGTGTCCCTTTGGCTATGGAGGACTACTGCTCTCTCTCTTTACTGATTATAAATTTTAATATACAGAAAACAGAATTAGGTAATAGTACTCTGTATCCACAGTGAGAATTAACACATGTTAATATCGTTATTTTTGCCTTGGATATTTTTTGAGACAAAACTAGCATATGATAAAGTACACAAATCTTGAATGTACAGTTTGATAAATTTTTACCTATGTATACACCTGGGTGATTACCAACCTGATCAAGATGCAGTATTTTGACTTCATCCCAGAAGGATCCCTATGCCATGTTCTAGTCAATAACACCCCATTAGCAACCGTAATGGTAACCCCTATTCTGAATTCTGTCACAAGGAATTAGCTTTGCCAATTCGAAAACTCCTTAACAAAATCACACTGTAAGTGTTCTTTTATATCTGGCTTCTTTTGCTTGACATAATGTCTTCGAGATTCATCTTTATTGCTGCAGTATTAAGCCATCTTCCTGCTGGTGGACATTTGGGCTGTTATTTTGCTCTTGTCACTGTTGCTATGGTAAGTGGCTCTGTAATGAGCCTGTCCCCTTGTGTACATGATAGTCTCTAGGATATGTATCTAGAAGTAGAGTACAAAATGGGTTTCATTATCTCTAGTCATTGCCTAATACAAACAGAGCCGCTATGAACAACCTTGTATATTTCTTTTGGGGCACAAAATCACTTCTCTTGGGTTTATACCTAGGAGTGGCATTTCAGAATCTCAGGATAGACATATCCCGCTTAGCTTTCAAAGATACTGCCAAACTGTTTTCAAGCCAACAGTGGTTGAATGAATCTACATTCCCAGCAATGTATAAGCATTCCAGCTGCTCCATATTTGTGTCAACATATGATATCGTTAGACTTGTTAAGTTTAGCCACTCTGGTGACTGAGTCTGGTACCTGACTGCAATTCTTCTTCATCTTCTCTTTCTCCCCCACTTCCTCCTTTACCTTCCTCTCTCCCACCCCTCCTCCCTCCTCCTCCTCCTCTTTCTCTTCCTTCTTCTTCTGGCTTTAATTTACATTTTCCTAATAAGTAATTAAATTGACCACCTTTTCATATGCTTCAAATACTTTTATTTTTTATTTCTTTTTTTTTAAAGATTTATTTATTTATTTATTTATTTGACAGACAGAGATCACAAGTAGGCAGAGAGGCAGGCAGAGAGAGAGAGGGAAGCAGGTTCCCCGCTGAGCAGAGAGCCCGATGCGGGGCTCCATCCCAGGACCCTGGGATCATGACCTGAGCCGAAGGCAGAGGCTTTAACCCACTGAGCCACCCAGGTGCCCCAACTTCTCACATTTTTAACACTAGTTCTTTATCTTAATTGGCATCTCTTCTGCATTCCATTGACCACTCTCTCCTGAAGATTTGTTCTGAATATCTACCTAACCACCTCACCATTTCTCCTCAGGGTCCTATGGAATCCTCCTCTGTGAAATTAAACTCTGACCTCCCTACAAGGCTCTCCTTGACCTTCTTTTGAGAAACCAGACTTCATCAAAATATAAAACTTTTGTTCATCAGAGAGACCATTACGAAAAGAAAAAGACAAGACACAGACTGAAAGAAAATATTGCAGTACATATATTTGACAAAGGATTTGTTTTTAGAACATAGAAAAGCCATCTACAAACTAATAATAAAAAGGCAAGCAGCCCCATAAAAGCAAAACCTGGGCAAAACACTTGAACGGACACCTGACAAAAGTTCTATGAATGACCTATTAACATGTGAAAAATCAAATACAGTATTACCCTGCAATCTAGCAATTCTCCTACATCTTTACCCAGAAGAAATAGGAAGTACTCTAAAAATACTCTAAAAATGCATTTTTATTCATAGTAGCCAAACACTGGTAACGCAAAGATCCATCAGCAGGATAGATGTACAACTGTGATGTGCTTATACAACAGAATACTGCTCAGCAGTAGAAAGAACAAACTACTGACCCACAACAACAACATGGAGGAATCTTGGAAATATTGTGCTTCCAAGGGTCCTGCAGTTGGCAGAATAACAGCCCCTCAAAGATGTCCAGGTCCAAATCCCCATAATCACGTGGCAAAATGACCATCATGTGATGAAGGTTGAGGACCTTGAGATGGGGAGTTAACTCTGGATCACTTGAGTCCTTAAAAGCAGAGAAGCCCTCCTGGCTGTGGTCAGAGGAAGATGAGACAATGGATGAACGGTCGAAGATACAACATTGTTGACTTCGAAGATGGTGGAAGGAACAACCAAGCCAAGGAATATGGGTGGTCTCTAGAGGCTAGAAAAAGGCAAGGAAAGAGACTTCCCTAGAGACTCCACAAAGGAACAAAGCTTGGCCAACACCTTGACTTTGACCCACTGAGAACACTTACTGGACTTGTAACACGCAAACCTGTAAGATAATAAATTTCTGTGGTCTTAGGCAGTTAAGTTTGTGGTAATCTGTTTCACCAGCAACTAGACACAATCTTCACTGGTTTTCTTATTTTGAGAGTTGACTCAAGCGTATGTTTTTTTTTTTTTTAATTCCTTCAAACAAATATTTTCCTTAGTTTTTTTGTTTATTTCTGTGTTTGTGTTTTTACTCCTAGTCTTTCTATCTCTGCTCATTTGTCTGTGCTCTGTGGCTGTCCAGTGGCCCTCTATTCATTTGTACTGCCTTTTCTCTTCTGCTTGGTGTATAGCTCTCCAGTATGTTTTCTTTAGGCACACATTGGTGTATATGCTTTGAGGAGAATCATGCCTCATGATCATAATCTGGGTTGATAACCTGGGACCAGAAGATCAGTTTCTATGTCTTTGAATATTGCTTTTCATCATTTTAATGGCTAGTGCATAGATTAAAAATTTAATCAATTCCCCACTTTCCACATTTAGATTGTTCTCAGTTTTTCACTTTCATAGATGACACTTTGGTCAACATTTTAGTAACTATATACTTAGGCTCATTCATTATTTTTTCCTTAGACTAAATTCATAAATTGCTAGGTCAAAGAAAATACAAAATGCTAAGTCTTTCAGTATGTAATTTCCAACCAACCAACCAATCAACACAAAGATTATACTAATTA